GACTCTGCTCTGAGAGAGCAGCCTCTTCCTCGAACATCATATTTCAAGTGGTCTTAGATCTGAGGGGCCCATCCTCTGGCACTATCTCTGGCAAAGTTCTGCTTCCATTCATTAGGCCATCAGTATCTGACAGTGTTTTAAAGCTATGCTTAAAGTTTTCAGTGTCTACATCTTATAACTTGGGCAGCTGAGTTGTTCACTGTTCTTAGTCTAGAAGCTCCTCTGAACCAAACCTATTCAGTCTGGGTGATCCCACTCGCATTTGAAATGCTATTGACACAACTTCTGGTATCACAGCAACACAGAAGCCACTGAAGTTTGACAAAGTGACTGGTGGCATGTTTGGTTTTTTAGATAGTAATCACAATAGACAAGCTCTGGCAGTGCAGTGTTATGCATTGGGATGTGATCTACAAGGTCTGTGATTCAAAAACCATGAGCTGGTCCTCAAGAGAATGATAGGGCTTTCTATTCCCATAAATAATTGTCGTCTTGGAAACCCACAGGGACAATTCTATGGTGTTGGTGTCTTATAGTGTGTTAAGAGTTGCCAGTCAATTTTATTTTGATTTGAAATTTGATCACAGCATAGGGTTAGTTTTAAATGTGTTTCTTGCATGTCTCACTGATGGAATATATGTTCTTCTATGTATCTTCTATTTTCTTCAGTTTGCTTCCCTTGTATCAATAGTAGTCACTGTCATGAAGTATGTGATCTACAAATATTCGTTAAATCAATTAATATCTCTGGATTTCATGACTCAATGATCCCATATAATATTGACAAACTGGGTGAACACACGAAGCTCATTTGTTAAGCACTGTGCCTAGCATATATTAGCTAACTTCATGTGCATATGTTGAATGCATGACCAGAAAAAAAAAAAAAGTTTGGAGATTAATATAATTTGCATTTGTAATGAATCTGAAATAATTCTTAAAAGCAAAGTAAGGAAATTCAAGGGTGTGATATGTACGCATAAGGTCATCTTAAGAGTGTCTAAGATTGCCGCTAAAAAAAGTAGCACTGAGTGTAAGACTTGTCACGTAGTGAGAACGACTGCTGAGTCTTCCTTTAGTGAATTTTATCACTTCTTCCTATGATTCAGGTATTATTGTCCCTATATTGGGGTATGCATTCCTATAGATACCCTAAGTTTAAGCTAAGCACATGATTACTCAGTGAAAGACTATACTCCCTCCCCTTCTTTTTTGTTTGATGTTGACATTCCCTTCCATTCCCTCACTCCCAGCTTTCCTGCAGTATGGTGGACAAGGGTGAACTTGCTTTGATTCTATGGACAAAGAGGCACCAATTAGATGGAATCGGGATCTGGAGTGACTCCACTGAGTAGTTCACTCCACCAAACTTCTTATTTTGGGGACTCTGTTACAGCTGTAACAGACATTTGTTTTAAAGTCCTTTACAACTCTATCTTAATAGAGAACCTGTGCCACTCTACTGAATAGAATTGTAGCATTCACTTATACAAATCTGTTCAATGGTTCACCATTGTTTGTCTCTTTCTAATTGAGCTGTGTTGTAAGACATGTACAGCATAATCCAATCCTCTATACCTGTTATTAAAATCCCATTTGGGAAGGAATTGACCTTCTTGTATTAATGAAACAGTATCAGTGCCTTAAAGCAATTTCTTTTGATATATAAGATAGTAGATTAGGAAAACAGGGCAGTAAATGGAGATGGGAGAAGGTAAGTGCCAAGGTACATTAAGATCTAGGAACCAAAGATTCCAACTGAATAATAATAAAGACCTTCCTTCAGAACAGACAATGAAAGGAACAGCTTTCTTTACCTAGAACCTGGACCTCGTATTCATATTTCTAGCATCGCAAAATGTGAGAAAATAAACATCTGACCTTCAAAGCCAGTCTTCTGTAGTATTTTTGTTGCAGCAATTCTAGATAACTTGCATGCTAGATTCGGCTATATCTAATGAAAATCACAATGATTGGCATGCTCTGGACATTTTACCCACAAACCTATGTTCTCCCTCATGCCCAGGGGCTCCATACTCATATGCAGGCAGGCAGGCAGGTAACAAATATATTGACTGAGCCAGTGTGTTGAATTGAAGCAACCATGTTGCCTGAAACTGGGCTACTGCTATTGTGGGATACAGAAAGATTTCTCCCAAGTTGGCTTAGTCAAATATACGCCAAACCCCAGATGCTGCTTGCTACCCATTAAGTGACTGTACACTAGGAGGTCCAAGAAAGTAGGTCAGAGGTTATTCTCCTTAAGGGCATTAGCAACTAAAGCAACCAGCTGTATAGTCTGACTCACCCTAAGTAGGGCCCACTCCCTTCTGATATTGTTCCCTTGAAGGAGTGCCCAAAGGCAAGCCTGAGACCACTAAAAGATGACTAAGGTTAGGCTATTAGACAAAGTCTAGGGTCCATCTATCTTGCCATATATGTACCCCTATTCCATCCTTTTACTATTTCGTGTACACCCCTAGATCATCCCTCTCCTGTTGCTTATATTGCGTATATTACAACCCCTCCCTATGACAGGTCATTATCTATGATCAGGTGGCTTGCATGCCCCCAAAGAGATATAAGCTTTGGTTGGAAATAAAACCTCATAAAAGCTCTCTTCTGCTTTCTCGTCTCCCACCTGAGGTGAGCATGCTACCATGAAACGTGTCTGATTTCTTTCTTTCACTTCCTGTCTCCCATCTTTCCTATTCTCTATGACTTTACTATAATCTTTATATATCTTAACCTTATGATTGCACCTACCAAACCTGCAATTAGTTGTGGGGGCTGGTTAACCCCACATGCTATAGTCCCTGTCCCAACTATAGCCTTCTCAGAATGCAAGCATGCAAAGACTACACTATGCTGTCAATCAACTGCAGGGTCATTGTTAGCTACACAGATACATCTCCATTAACTTATTTACAATGCAAATACGCCAAACAAACTGTATTTATGGGGCATCTTGCAAGCTATCTGTGCACTAGAAACCCAAGAACTTTCTATGATTTTCACAGTACCCAAACTCCTTCACACTTTCTTCACACTTTCTTTCACACTAATAAGAGGGAAAACCAAACAAAAAGCTGTATTCCTACCCGGTTTGTCTATGCACTATTACCCAAAATTCTGCTCTCAGTTTAATATGACTATCAATGAGCAGTCATAACCACATCGATTTATTTTCTCCATATTAATCATCTCTCATATACCCAATCCCCACAGTTATATAATTTGGGTAATTAGTTGAAAAATTCCCTAATCCTCACACCAGACCAAGGCCTATAAAATGCTGGAAGACTTATCTAACCACATTGCTCTATTCTCCAGTTTTACCTTCCACTTCAAATCTCTTAGTAACTTCCCTAATTACTGAACATTTCTTGGACCTTTTTCCAATGCAGCCAACAACTCAGCAATCACTTGTTCTCCCGCCCCCACCCCCCGCCCCCCGGCAGTTTCTTAGCCTTATATTTATTAATCACCAAACCACTGGTGCATGCATTTCTAAGAAAGGCATTCTTTTTTGTGTCTAGTCATCATGTATTGCATATTTCAAACTTTATATTGTTGTATATATGTTTAAATCTTGATATTTTTCTATTAGTAAACTGTGAATTGAGTGTCTTGTACATATGTCCAAATATGAGGCCTTCATTCAAATTACTTAAGTACAGCAAAACCATATCAATTATTTGTACTCTTCCTCTTGTCTTTCTTACCAGCGTTGTAGTCTAAGTTAAAATTACCCCTTACTTGAACAACAAAAACAGTTTCCTAAATGATCCGGTCTTTATGCTTTTCCACTGACTAATGCGTTTTCAATGCATTAAAATAAATAAGTAAACACACCATTCCTATTATCAAATCACCTTGTTTGAATGAGTCCTTATAGAGAGTGGAAGGAAATATAAAGCTTATATTTACTTTTGTGTTTTCCTGTGGCTGAAATGCAAGGGTCATGAACGTTCTTCAACCTCGATAAAGGAACTCTGGAGTTTCCACATTCACTCCTTTATCTCCAACCTCCTCTCCTAGCTCTTCTTCCAATGGTAGACCCACTAGTTAAAATTAAACTTTTTCTTCTCACACATATACGAGAGGAATTCCAATCCTTTTAATCACAGCACTCACTGTCAGAGGATTTATTATTGCATAATCAGTGAAAAGAAAAAATATGCATAAAAACTACCCCACATCTTCTCAAACTCACTGACACTGAGTTGAGCGTGAGACCATCTGGACTCCAGGTTACCCCAGATTCTATTGCCATTACAACTATTTTTTTAATCAATTATTTTCAGGACCAAAAGGATGATACTAAGGGCTTGATTTTACATATCTAACTAAAGTGTTATTGTTTTTTCAGTAGCATTCATATATTAACAGGACTTCAGTGTCAGAAGGACAGTGTTGGTTGGGAGGCCAAGAAGCTGAAGGTAGATACTGGCTGTCTTAAGCAAACAGCCCTGGTTATTAATTAAGTGAACTGTTTAACCCAGAATCTTCAGTGAAACCTACCCAGCATGGGTACTCTGCTGGCATTTGAAATAAAGATGCCATAAAATCACAACACACAAGATACCACAGTCAAGCAAGCTTATGAGGGGGTAACCACCCCCCCGCCCCCAACGCCTCCTTCCCCCACTACCAAAAAAGAAAAAGAAAAAACAGCTTTGCAGGGCAGAGCCTTTGTATAATGCATTTTTCCTTCTAGGAAAGCATCTAGCAACTCTGAATTAGTGCACCCAGTGGTGTCACCTGGGAAGGTTCTCTCTGAGCACAGTAGACTTTTTCATCAAAGCAGTTTTGCTGGAACTTCATTTTTTGTGATGGTTGAATTCAAAGAACAGAATGAGGCTGAGAAATTTGTTTCGTGCTTGGGAAAAATGCCACAGAAATGGTTGTGATGTTGAACACAGCTTACAAGGACAGGGCTGTGAGAAAAACTCAACTGTGTGAGTGGTTTTCTCATTTCAAAAAAGGTGAAATGTTGTGCATGGGTTTGGATTTATGCCAGGTCCAATCCCATGGGCCTCTCATAGTGTCCCATGTCAAAGCAAACTGTAACCCCGAACCATTGCCTGGATTCACCCCATGGGCTTCAGGTACTGAATCAGGTTGCATAGTGGAGAAAAAAATAAAAAAAAGGTGAAATGTTGACTGATGACAAACCTAATTTCGGACATCTGTCAACTTCCCAAACAGACCAAAATGTTGACTCGGTGCATTTGGAGTTCATTCTACCAGGTAAGATTGCTAGCCAAGCTTTCTACTTAGAGCTTCTGAAAAGATTGCATAACAGTGTGCAACAAAAAAGGCTTCATTTCTGGCAGATGGAGGCAATGCACCTTCTCACATGCCATCTCACTGTGCCGGTTTTTTGCACAAAACAGCAAGCTTCTCTTGCCCCACACACCTTAATCACCCAACTTCACTCCTTGTGACTTCTTTTTATTTACATGAATGAAGGGGGTTATGAAAGGCCAGCAACTTGATGATGTAGAAGAGGTGAAGAAAAAAAAAGAGGGAGGTTCTGTCCAAACAGGAGTTTGAAAAATGCTCCCAAGAACAGAATCGCAAGTTTGAAAATGTACTAAGCATAATGGAGAGTACTTTGAAGGTGATTAGGTTGTTTGGTAAAATAAATTAAATAAATCACTTTGGAAAACAATCTGGTTTTTTTTTGGGGGGTATCCCCTATAATGTTGGAAAGGCCATCAAAAACAACATATAAATTGATGAGAACCTGGTGTTCGATAAATAGGAGGCCAATTAAATGGTAATTCTCAAAGACACAATATCTGCAGCAATTGATTCAGACCTGTCCACTGTTATGAAGATGTCACGGAGCTTGACAACATTGTGTTCTGCTGTAAGGTAGTTTCCTAATTTGACAACTAACAATACCAATAGCAGTAAAGCCTACTCTGTATCAGGCACTTGCTAATGGCAGTTATTGCTAATACCTTGGAACTATTTTGATATAGTAGTTGTCTTAGGATGGCTTCTCTAAAAAAGAAAAGCCAGTGACACACACACACACACACACACACACAAGCATACATAAATAAGATAGATATATCATTGTCAGTTTCTGCTTATGTATATAACAATATGTCATTGCCAGCTTATTATGAGAGAGAGAGAGAGAATGCTTTCAAGAAAATGGCTCCGACAGTTGTAAAAGTGGGTAAGTTCCAAGTTCATGCTAGTTCCAAGTCCATGAGTCAGATGTTAGATTGGAGGCTTCTCTTGACTCTTGGAACTGTGGACTGATAAACTCAAGATCAGGTTGGTGGATGCTGAGGTGGATAAATTGAAGATCAGGAGGTCAGGTTTACGGCTGGAGAGTTGAATGAATCCAAGATTGGCACGCCAGTGGGAAGGCCTCTGAAAAGCACCTGGATCGGCAGGCAATATGGCACACCATTGACTTAAATCCGAAGCACCAGAGGATTGATGAGCCAGATGAAGGGTGCAAACTCAGAAAACAGCAGCCACGCTTTCTGCAGTGTCCACTTATATTGGAAGCAGTCGAAAGTCCCAACAAATTTTACTTTCAGTGACTGAATCTGAGAAAGGGTGGTACATCATCCAGCTTTAATCTTATAAGGGATTGTCTCCTCATAGTAGGTCCCATTATACAGTTGAGTACAATTTATTAAATCCCATAATGGGGAGTTACTTGGCATTAGCTGCTGAAACACTGAGAATTCAGGTCCAGAGTTGATACAATACCTATCATAGCAGGTGTGCCATATATGTGTGAATAAATGGCTAATTAAAGACTAGGAGGGAAGTGGAGGTAAAAAGGAAATTGTGGCAAATAAAGAACGTAGAACACCAAAGCAGGGAGTAGGAATGCTCTTTAAGAAAGATTTAAAAGCAGCCAGCATGTCTGAAACTGAGAGCCCATGGAGGATTAACAGCAACTCCAGAGTTCCCCAATGATTATTATTAAAATCATGGCTGTCAATAAGTATAACTTGGAATATCAAAAATAAGAAATGTGATTATTCTTTTGTCTCTATACCTGTTACATTATTCTAATCTAAGTAACTTTTTTCCCCATCTTGAACCATGGAAAGTCTTATGACATCTTTTGATACCTGCAAAGGTAGTGGATATTCTCATGGCCAGAGTTTTCTGGATGGAGGGTGTGAAACTTGCTGGTTACTAATTATCTGACACTACCACCAACACCCCTGCAAAATATGTTAGCCATTTGTATTCCAGAGTAAAATTAAAGCCCATTTAGTAAAGAATATTAGATTTGGAGGTAGAGAACCAAATAACTTGTATCTAATTACTTTAGTAATTTATCTGTCTCCTATAAGCTCATATATTCCCTGAAATAAATATACTTAAAGGTCGGCTGCTTCTTAAGTACAGAGAGGAACTGGAAACACAGGGAATCCAGGACGGATGATCCCTTCAGGACCAGTGGTGAGAGTGGCAATACTGGGAGTGTAGAGAGAGGGTGGGTTGGAAAGAGGGAACTGATTACAAGTATCCACATGTGGCCTCCTCCCTGGGGGATGGACAACAGAAAAGCAGGTGAAGGGAGACATCGGACAGGGCAAGATATGACAAAATAATAATTTATAAATTATCAAGGGCTCAGGAGGGAGGGAGGAATGGGGAGGGAGGGGAAAATGAGGAGCTGATGCCAGTGGCTTAAGTGGAGAGCAAATATTTTGAGAACGATGAGGGCAATGAATGTACAAATGTGCTTCACACAATTGATGTATGTGTGGATTGTGATGAGTTGTATGAGGCCCTAATAAAATGATTAAAAAAAAGAAGAGTGAAGAGGACTCTAATAAAAGGACATTTTAAATGATGCATAATATGCCGTGATTCAAGCAATGAATCAACAAATCGGAAGGATTAAAATACGTGATGATAGTGTTATTGCCACCTTTATTATAGAAATATCATAACTCATATAGTACTAAGGTGAAAACACATAAACATAAAACTCATCTTTATTAAGCACAATTTGTACAGAAGTAGTAGAATTTGTCCAGAATTAGGCAAGGCTGGTCCCAAACAATCTAACTTTGCTCACCTGCCATTTTAAAAGCTTCAGCCAAACTATTAAATAAATACTGGAGCTTTCCCACTACTACTGCCTACTAATTACTTAAGTATTTTAATATATACTCATACAAATATAAGAACTACCATCTATTATTTTCATAATTAAAAATGTAAATTGTTTGAAATAATAAAAGTAGCAAAACAGAAATTGAAAGAGTTATAAATTTTCTTCTTACTTAATATTTGTTTCAATATTTATAATAAGATCTATGTTGAGTACAATAATATTAAAATGCAGGTACGGCAGTTCTTAAAAGTTAAGTTTATATTTTCGTACTTGTTTTGGAAAGAAAAAGAAAAGGATCGAAATATGTGATCTAAATTTCTTCCTTAGGAAGTTGAACAAAGAATAATCAACTAAATCCAAAGAAATAGAAAGAAAATATATTAGAGTTAAAAAAGAGAAATCCAAGAAAATACCAGACACACAAAAAAATCAGGGCCTAACACTGGGATTTCAGAAAGATGACTGCATGTAATACAAATTAATGAGAATATAAAGAATCTGCAAGAAGCTAAAGAAAACATAATTAAAAATGGAGATCACTTCAAATACTGCAAATATCTCAAGTATGATTGGGAAATCAACTAAACAACTTTATGCCTATACTCAACCAATCAGATAAAATTAAATATGAAAACACAATTTATCAAGGCCGATTCAAAAATAAATGGCTATATAGCTAATAAAGGAATCTATTTTGCATTGAAAAACATTATCATCGTGTATAAACCAAAAGCAGATATTTGCACTAGAAAGTTCTATCATACATTCAAGGAAGAATTACACTCATGGCGCTGCAAATTAGAAGCCTTAGTATAACATAGTTCTGGGTGAGTTAACCGTGTTGTGAGCAGTTGGAACCCATAGGGTGCTCAGTGGAAGAAAGGCAAGGCTTTTTATTCCCATACAAATTCTGAGTCTTGGAAACCTTACACATCAGTTCTCTGTCCTATAGGATTTCTATGAGATGGAATCAACTGGATTGGCAGTGGACTTGGGTTTGGAGTGGGTTAAGCACTTGGCTGCTAATGTGAAAGTAGGCAGTCGAACCCATCGAATAAAGGGGTGGCAGTCTGTTTCTGTAAAGGTGTGCAGTCCTAGGAAACCCTACGAGGTAGTTCTATTATGTATAAAACTCAAAGAATAATTATTACATGAATAATAAAGTGATAAAAATAGTAAACAAGATAACATTGCAGGAAAATTCCTTATGAATATAAGTAACATATTCTCAACAATAAAAAAATACTACTTTGAATGAAAAAAAATCACACATATCATGACCAAGTAGGGTTTGTCCCAAGAATGAAAAGTTCCTTCTATAATAAAATTTCAATATAAAACATCCTATTAAGTCAATAAGGAATACAAATAATATGAAAACTCAATAATAATGAAGAAAACAATAACTTTTAAAATAACCAACACCCACTTATAATTTTAAAAACTCTCAAACATGAAATAAAATAAAATGTTCAACATAAGGAGTGCCTACTGAAAAGAGACAGCCAAGAAGATATTAAATGGGGAAAGACACAGTGCTTTTTCCACAATACAGAAAAGAAGCTCAGGATGCTCAATCCTATCATTTCTGTTCAAAATTGTACTGGCAATTTATGCACACAATTTTAAGGATTAAGTGTCAATTAATGCAGCACGATTCATTATCAAGATGTTTTAAATATTTGTATTTCTGTATTTAAGACGACAATTAGATTATTACATTAAACAATACTACAAATCTATCTTGGAGGAAGAAATGCTCTTTAAAAATGAAGACATGAGACTTCATGTTACATACTGGGGCATATTATCAGAAGAGACCCATGTCTGGAACAGGACATCAGGCCTGGTAGCAGAGAGAGTCCGTGTGAAAGAGGAGGCAGCTCTGTGAGGAGTTGCCACAGTGGCTCGAGCAATGACCTCAAACATAAGGACAATTGCCAGAATGGCATTCGAAGGATAGTTTTTCTTTCTGTTGTACTCAGGATTGCTATGAGTTGACACCAATTTGATGGCAG